GGGGCAGACGCTCAAAGCAGGAGCTGCCCCCTGGTGGTCAGTGCGCTCCCACAGGGGCAGCGCTGCTCATGGCTGGTGAGTGCAAAGGTGGTGGTGGGAGCCTCTCCCGCCTCCGCGGCAGCACTAAGGATGTCTGACTGATGGCTTAGGCCTGCACCTGGTGGGGAGCGGGCCCAAGCTGTCAGTCGGACATCCCCCAAGAGCTCCCGGACTGCAAGAGGGCGCAGGCCGGGCTGAGGGGTCCCCCCCCCCGCCCAAGTGCACGAATCTTGTGCACTGGGCCTCTAGTTCATTATAAACATGTTCAACATAAGAAAAAAGCCCAAACCCCTCACTTTCCGGGAGAAGGATGACTGATGTGAGGGAGTCGTTGTTCTTGCTGTTCCCCACCCACAAATACAGAGCTGGGTGGCTGGCTGGCTGGATAAACAGACAGCAGATGGACGTCCTATGACCACGGAATCCTACGACAGGGAGCCGGATTTATTTGTGTGAGCGTGAACATGCCTTCAGATTTATAAACAAAAGACAAAGAATCCCAAACAGAACTGTTGTCTTTTGGAAAACAAAGAAAGAGACATTAGCTGACAGCGAGAGAATTTGATGTTTCAAGTACCTGGTAAGGTGGGGGGCGGGGGGAAAGCTTGTACAGATTAACATCAGGACGTGGGACCATCATGTCACTAAACCACGTAACATCGCCATCCGACAGGTTCTCGGGACGGTGGCGAAATGACGTGGAACGAAACCCATTTTACCAGAGTCTGGCTGGTACCAACGAGAGCCAGGTCCCAGAGGCATCTCATCCACGTTACGGGGAAATGGTGACCTTCGGGGACATTCTGTGTAGCTGCCACCTCCACGTGTGCCCGCACCCTCCCCACACCCCCGCTGTCTCTTTCGTGGCACAATTTCAGCCAGTGCCGTGGACTCCCTTTTTTAAATTTTAAATACATTTTCATTGATTCCAGAGAGGAAGGGAGAGAGAGAGAAGATAGAAACATCAATGATGAGAGAGGATCATGGATCGGCTGCCTCCTTGCACACTCCCCACTGGGGATCAAGCCCACAACCAGGCATGTGCCCTGACCGGGAATCCAACAGTGACCTCCTGGTTCGTAGGTCGACGCTCACCCAGCTCTACGAGTCAATGAAAGGAAGTTCCAAGGTGGGTTTGACCTGCTTGGTGACATTGGAGATCGTCTCACCAACCTCCAAGGGAAACCGAGGCATGTGGGTGACTTTCTCCAGGTCCTTTGTTTGCTCTCAGATCCGGAGAGAATGTGTCTATGATCCCCAGCGCCAGGCAGAGGCCGAAGTGACCTGAAAACCCACGTGTCCCGCGTCCCAGCTCCTCCCTGAGAGGGGAGTGACCAGGCGAAGAGTCACCTGGAAGGTGACCGTGGCCTCCGGCAGGAGGCTGTCACCGATCTGAGGGGTGCAGCTGTCAGGTGTCACATCCCAGGCAGGACACGCTGACCCTCGTTAGCATTGGAGCAGCGGGTGCATCTGGAGTAATTAGCCGAGAGACGGCCGTTTGGACAGGGGCCATTGTGTTTCACCGGAAGCTTCCATTGCCTGTGGATTAAGTGGGCTTTTTGCTCCCAGTTCGCGAGTGATTACTCAGTGATTCTGCTGCGAGTTCCGGGCCAAAGGGCGTCGTTTGTGACCCTGAGAAGGAGCCTCTGAGGTGGTGGGATTCCTGTTCCTCGGCTCTCCAGCAGCCCTTGGTTCGGGAAATGTAACGTTAAAGGGTCGGCTAAGTGGTGAGTAATCCTGGGGTCCAGGGGGTCCTTCCAATCCCATTCTTCGTGTGACACAGAGACTTCCCCCGTCTCAGCCGATGGCACCAGGGTCCTCCCGGTGGCTTGGAACAAACATCTAGGAGTCATCATGCTGCTTCGACATGTTTAACAACTACATCCAGCCCATCGGCAGGTCACCATGCCTCTGGCCTCCAAAATACACCCAGACCCCGGCGCCTCACTCTGCCGACATTGCCAACCCCCAAGCCCACCCCCGGCATCTCTCGCTGGGATGAAAGGAGGACCGCCTGGTGAAAACGCAGATTTATTAGAAGCTCAGCCTGACGCCGCTGCCTGGGTCCCTGAAGGGTGGCCGAGTGCTTCCTCGGTAGAAATGGAGAGGGGGGACCTCGGGCCTGAGGCTGCGCTGAGGGCGGCATGAGGCCGCCCTTGGCCTTGGGGTTGTCTTGACCATCCTGGCGGCAGTACGACTTGCAATCTGCACAAAGCAGCGCCGCTGAGCCCCAGGGGGTCTTGTGGGACGCCATCTGGTCAGAGGTCAAAGAAGAGCAGGATTCGGGTAAGAGATTCAGAAAACGGGGGATGGAGTATCCTGCAATTTGAGTTTGTTGTAAAAGGGGAAAATCTACTTATTAATTCCTCCAAGATGGTCACAGCACGGAGCTGATGAGGAAGATTGACGTTTTGTCTAAACAGAGGAAAGATCCACAGACTTTTCTTGGTGAGTGTGTCTCTCTGGCAAGACAAAGGTCGGTCCTGGAGAAACGAGCCCGCACACGTGCTCAGAGGCTCGGGCGAGGAAGGATGCGGCTGGATTTAATATCAAGCAGCTGTGGCGACAAAAACAGCTCGCTATCTAGCACTGCCATTCACGCGGGGCTGAGTCTTGAAATACTAATCACCAGTGCTCGGGCGGCACGCTAGAATCGCTTGGGATGGTGATCACTGAGCAAAACATTCTCCTGATCTATTAATCCTTAAAGATGTGTGTCTGTTAAGAGAAGATGATGAATAACTTATCAAGTGGGGGAAAGAGCAGATCTTACAACGTGTTCGCCTGCGAAGGGTAAAGACCGGTCTCTCCGTTTCTACGCTCGGTCTTTCTTGCTCCCTCTGTCCGTCTTCCCACCCACCATTCCCAGGCTGGCTGCCTCCCGTGGCCGCCTCCCGTGGCTGCCTCCCGTGGCTGCCTCGCCAGCTCTGGGCCTTTCTGTTTGCTTCTCCCCAGACGGCTCTCTCCTCATGTGGGTCCTCCGTGGGTGACACAACCGTCCTCTCTCTGTCTGCCTCTGCCTCTGACATCATTTAAGGTGACAGATTCCCCTTCCCTCTTGATACTGACATTCCCTCTCCCCCTCTTTTTCCATCCTCCTCTTCCTCTGCCTGACCCCCCTCTCCATCCACCCAGAGAAGGAGAGAGGGCGAGTCAGCCGAGCCACCAGCCAAGGCTCCCCGTGCTCCTTGCAGCCACCAGGCACCTGGCAGCTCCCAGAGGCTTCATTCATATTTACGTAACGTCACGGCTGTGGACTTGAGTCTCAGCAGCTCGGGCCCTTCCTCTGCAGCCGCCCTCTCCGCGCCCCATGGAACCCGGTTGGGTTTGACGGAGCAGCTGTGGGCTCGCCGGTCTGTGGCGGCCTGAGGCCTTGTTACGTTTTCGTGGAGCTCACGATGGGAAAGAAGATTTGTTTCGGACCACAGAGTCACCGCTGAAATTAAGCAGAGCGTGGCCGAAGTGGGAGCAGCAAGGGAAGGAAGCAGAGGAAATGCTTACAGAGCCATTATTTGCTGTCAGAGCTCAGAGGTGGGGAAAACCGAGGCCACTGGACCAAGAGAAGCCACGGACACGGGAATCAGACCGTCCAAAAGGCAATCCCCCATTTCTCTCTCTTCTTCCTTTTCCTGTGTCTCCATGGCCATCTGTTTTCTTTCTACGTCGCTGAGCTTCCTGTTCTCCATCTTCCTATATGTCTCATGTCACTCATTCTCTAGCTGTCTACCTAACCGGTTCAAAAACACGCCTGTGAGGAACCCTCAGAGCCGGAACTCACTCTCCCAAGCCGTGAGAGCGGAACAGACTCCGAGGAACCCCTGAGAACCGGAACTCACTCTCACCGGAACACATTCTGAGGAACCCTGAGCGCCGGAAACGACTCTCACAATCCTGGACACCGGAACAGACTCCGAGGAACCCTGAGACCTGGAACTCACGCTCACGGGAACAGATTCTAAGGCACCCTGAGACCGGAACTGACTGTGAGGAGCCCTGAGAACCAGAAACCCGAGCCCTGAGACAGAAACTGACTGTGAGGAGCCCTGAGAACCGGAAACCCGAGCCCTGAGACCGGAACTGACTGTGAGGAGCCCTGAGAACCGGAAACCCGAGCCCTGAGACCGGAACTGACGGTGAGGAGCCCTGAGAACCGGAAACCCGAGCCCTGAGACCGGAACTGACTGTGAGGAGCCCTGATAACCAGAAACCCGAGCCCTGAGACCGGAACTGACTGTGAGGAGCCCTGAGAACCGAAACCCGAGCCCTGAGACCGGAACTGACTGTGAGGAGCCCTGAGAACCGGAAATGACTCTCACAATCCCTGAGACGGACTCTGAAGAATCCTGAAAACCGGAAACCGAAGCCATGAGACCGGAAGTCACTGCTCGGACTTGTGCTGCCAACCCGCAGCTCAAGCTTAAGCTCCTCCCACGAGGCCGCATCTCAGCCTGTGCAGTGATGGCTGCTCCGTCCCGAGGCCCCTTCGCTGTGACAGCGGCACGGCCCCAGGGTGGTGGCCCTGACCCCCGGGCCCCCTCTCCTAGGCTCACCGTCCGAGCCATCAGGCGGGCGGCGGTGCGCCTTTCCCAGCTGCGCGAAGCCAGACCCTCGGGGAGGCGTGTTTGCTGCGTTTGTCGAGGCTCCTTGGGCGTCACGTCTGCACGGGGCACCGGGACCGAGGACGCTCGAGTGTTCGCTTAGGTTGGGCCTTTGGGGGCCGTCTTCCCAGCCGGCCCGCGACTGTGCGCTCGTGTTCTTCTCCGACTCGTCCTGGCGCTGCCGGAGGTCAATTGCGGTTCCCAGAACCCCGGCGGGGCCGGCCGCGCAGCAGCAGCAGGGGCGGCTCGTTGCTCTCGGAGGGAAATAAAAGTGCAGCCGCGCGGTGCCAGACGGTGCCCGCGGTCCTCCCCCTGCGGGGACTCGCTTCCTCGCGCCAGTCCCGCTGGCCGTGCAGTGATGCGATGCTGCAGGCCCCGACGCTGCAGGTCCCCACGCTGCAGGTCCCTATCCTGCAGGTCCCTATCCTGCAGGCCCCCACGCTGCAGGCCCCTATCCTGCAGGTCCCTATCCTGCAGGTCCCTATCCTGCAGGTCCCTATCCTGCAGGTCCCTATCCTGCAGGCCCCTATCCTGCAGGTCCCAACACTGCAGGCCCCTATCCTGCAGGCCCCTATCCTGCAGGTCCCGATGCTGCAGGTCCCTATCCTGCAGGTCCCGATGCTGCAGGCCCCTATCCTGCAGGTCCCCACGCTGCAGGCCCCTATCCTGCAGGTCCCTATCCTGCAGGCCCCTATCCTGCAGGTCCCCTATCCTGCAGGCCCCCACGCTGCAGGCCCCTATCCTGCAGGCCCCTATCCTGCAGGTCCCAACACTGCAGGCCCCTATCCTGCAGGCCCCTATCCTGCAGGTCCCAACACTGCAGGCCCCTATCCTGCAGGTCCCTATCCTGCAGGCCCCTATCCTGCAGGTCCCCACGCTGCAGGCCCCTATCCTGCAGGTCCCTATCCTGCAGGTCCCTATACTGCAGGCCCCCACGCTACAGGCCCCTATCCTGCAGGTCCCAACACTGCAGGCCCCCACGCTACAGGCCCCTATCCTGCAGGTCCCAACACTGCAGGCCCGTCCGAGGGCGCTGACGGCTAGGGCTTCCCGTCCCAGGCATCATCCAGTATCCGCGGCCTTCAGCTCACCTGCCGGTGGGAGGCGGCGGCTTTGATGGATGAGCCCTCAGAGGGGACCCCGAGGGGCCCGCCACACACCCAGCCGCGCGTGGCGGGTAACTAGAGCCCCTGTCGCCTGATTACAGCCCAGGAACCAGAGGCCCGGGAGGGGTCTCGGTAAACATCCGTCCGCTGTGTCCCAATTCATCGCACCAGGAAGTGGACACCTACGAACCAGGAGGTCACGGTTCGATTCCTTGTCAAGGGCACAGGCCCGGGTTGTGGGCTCGATCCCCAGTGGGGGGCGTAAGGGAGCAGCCGGTCCATGACTCTCTCTCCTCATTGATGTTTCTCTCTCTCTCCCTCTCCCTTCCTCTCTAACGTAGAAAAAAAAAAAATGACCGACTGTAACTGTGGGCGAGTCTCTCACTGGACAGAGCTGCCAACCCGTTTAGCCCGGAGGCTGCGGCCTGCCCTCCCCCCTGCGTGTGCCCGGGGCGCAGGTGCAGGACGGGGGAGGCACAGGTGGGGGATAAGGGTGCTGTGGGGGCCCCACAGGCGATGAATGTCTCTGCACTGACTGTGGTGACAGGGCCTTGTCTGCCGTGGGCCCCCGGCCCCCCGAGGCCTTGCCCACTGACCCCGTGTCATTTGGAGGAGACGCCGAGAGGCTGCGGGGGGCTCCGCCTGCTCCGTGGCAGCGCCCGGCGAACAGCCCGCAGACGCACTGCTGCTCTGGGTGGGGTTTGACCGGCCTCCCCTCGCCCACGGCAGCGGAGAGCGCACGCAGGCAGGTGGCTGCGGTGGCCTGATGCGCCCCCTCTTTGTGCGGGTGATGGGCTCATTGTCCGTCCTCATTGGAGACCCGTCGTCTGGTCCCGCTGGCCAGAGGGGAGCCGCGGCGCATCCTCCACCCTTTGTTCCCGTCAGCATCACTGCGATTCCGCGTGAATTAGAGCTTTTGTTCGTTCCTGCCTCTCTCATTAAGAGCGAGCATTCCGGGATCGTTTCCACGGAACGCGGAGAAATGGGGGCCGAGCGGAGCGGACCGCGAGCCTCCCAGCTCCCTCGCCCAGCAGACACCGCCCCGCCTCTGCTCCTGCGTCCAGGCCCCGCTCAGGGCCAGGGTCGGGGTTCCTGGGGTCTCCGGCCGGGGAATGGGTCCAGGGGGTGGGGGCAGCTGCGGCCCCTGTGCCTGTGTCCCCTGCAGACATGTTGGCTGTGGGGGACCCTCTGACAGTTGGAGGCCAGGCACAGTGTATCGTGATCTGCACGCAGGGGCCCTAACGCGGCGAGGCGGGAGGGCACCTGCCGCGAGCCCCGAATTCCGCTCCAGTGCCCTCATTCCTGCGAGCAGCTCACTGAGCATAAAAGCACCAGCACCAGCAGCTGTGCCTGTCAGCGCTCAGCCGGCGAGCGGGGCGGGAGAGGGACCGCCCGACGCTGATGACACCGTGACACCTTCTGAAACACTGCTTCCAAGCGCTGAGGACTCGCTGGGAGCTGATCCGGTGGGAAGTGTCCCGAGCCCAGGGCTGCAGGACTCGGATGTCGATGTCGCCGCAGTGTAACCGCCTCTGTCTGCATCCAGGTGGCTGTTCATCACGGGGTGCAGGGCCTCTGAGAGGAGGGACCCCGGCCGGCCACAGGGCCCCCCGCCCCCCACCAAGGCCTGGTGGGCTCACGGTGCCGTTCTTAACGAGGAAGAAGCCGTCGTCGTCTGAGGCTTGAATAAGCGTCTCCGGAGTCCACGAGACAGCTATTTTTAATTTTTTAAATACATTTTATTGATTTTTTACAGAGAGGAAGGGAGAGGGATAGAGAGCTAGAAACATCGATGAGAGAGAAACGTCGATGAGAGAGAAACATCGATCAGCTGCCTCCCGCACACCCCTCACTGGGGATGTGCCCGCAACCAAGGTACATGCCCTTGACCGGAATCGAACCCGGGACCCTTCAGTCCGCGGGCCGACGCTCTATCCGCTGAGCCAAACCGGTCAGGGTGACAGTTAACTATTTTTAAGGTGTTGCCCACACATTTTCAAGGCGGGAATGTGCCCCGAGTGGGATAACATATCCGCTTCCCTCGGCCTGGAACCCGCCCCCCTGTTGCCGCTCTCCGAGCCGCATCCATAAATAACTCTCCGGTCAGACAGGAAAGCCGGGCAGCGCACCCCATTCATCTCAAAGCCGCGCCGCAAGGTGATGGCGCTGAGAATTCCCAGGGCTTTCAATTTTCCTATCTGAACACCGGACATAAATTTCAATTTTGGACAAAAACGACAAAAAAGTTATTCTAGGTCACATACCACCAACTATCATAAAACTTAAACTAGCATCATTTTTTTTTCTTTTGCTGAAATAAGCAATGGGAATTTTCCTTGCTGTTGTTTCCTGCTATTCTGATGCACATTTTTCTCTCTCTCTCTCTTCAAAAGTTGTTTTTTTCTCCCTAACGTATCCTTAGAAGAGCTGCTGGGCCCGGCCGGTGTGGCTCAGGGGTTGAGCATCAACCTATGAACCGGGAGGTCACAGTTCAATTCCCGGTCAGGGCACAGGCCCAGGTGGTGGGCTCCATCCCCAGTAGGGAGCGTGCAGGGGGCAGCCCACCCATGATTCTCTCTCATCATTAGTGTTTCTCTCTCTCCCTCTCCCTTCCTCTCTGAAATCAATAAAAATATATTGAGAGAGAGAGAGAGAGAGAGAGAGAGAGAGAGCGAGCTGCTGGCAGTCCTCTGATGTTGGGAAATACCTGGATTTTTATTGTGTGGGTTTTCTTAGGTCAGTGTGTGTGTGTGTGTGTGTGTGTGTGTGTACGTGCACACGCACACACACGCATGCACGCTCACTCAGCACACTCTGCCATTTTACAGAATCAAATACCTGTCGCCCGGGAAGGAAACGGTGATTATGAATTATGGATCGTTCGCAAGTAGCAATACAGAATTAGCTTCCGGGCCCGTTTCCAAAGGCGGAGTGAATTTATGACAAGCTGGGTATTGATGAATGATTTATAAAGTCTGTTGAATGTATCAGCAGAGCCCGTGAATGGGGATTTGTTAGGTCAAATAAATTAAATTGCAATGAAACAGATTGCTTCTTCATGAAAAATTAAAATGCATGAGAGCTGGTCCGGGTACGCCTGCATCTGAAACCTCTCCTCCCTGGAGGTTTTTATCTCTAATCGGGAGCGACATGTGTCGGCCCAGAGGTGAAAAGGCGGCAGAAAAGGACCCGCACCTTCGGGGAACAGAGACAAGTCGATGAAACCCCAGACGGCGACTCCGTGCGTTCTCGCCAGTCCTTTATGAAAACGGGGTGGAGGGCGGTGCGCCCCACCAGATCCGGGAGAAGCCCGCTGTCTGTGGGGTATCGTCAGATTCAACCCCCCGCCACCCCCCCCCCCCCAGCCTGCATCTCCACGTGCAGCTGGTTCCATTACAGAACTACTTGCAGCAGAAAAATCACTGGCTGTGGGTCAAAAAGGACCCAATTCATTTAAAATGTTATTTTCTTAATATCTTTTTTTATTGATTTCAGAGAGGAAGGGAAAGGGAGAGATAGAATCATCAACGATGAGAGAGAACCATGATCGGCTGCCTCCTGCACACCCCACACTGGGGCTGGAGCCCACACCCCGGGCCTGTGCCCTGACCGGGAATCGAACCCTGACCTCCTGGTTCCTGGGTCCACGCTTAACCACTGAGCCACACCGGCCGGGCTGCAATGTACTTTGAATACTCTTCAAACCTGACGTAATGTGCCCACATGGTGACGTTCCCCTGGGATACAGTTTCAGTGCAGCCCCTGCTCCTCCTCGAGAAAGAGCGTCTGTCTCCCGGAGCTCGGTCTGTCCTCACGAAGCCGTCGACCTGAGCCTGGGTCCCAGGCCAAGTGCGAAAGGCAGGCGGTGAGCACATCTGGGAACGGTACTCAGATAGTGTCAGCAACCACCTCTCTACGTTGGATGTGTGTGGTCGACACTGATAGGCACGTATGTGCACATCACGTGTGCCTATATGTATGTGTGTGTGCACGTGTGTGCGCGTGTGCACACGCGCGTGTGTCTATTGGGGTAACAATGGTCCATGGAGAAACGGCTCTGTGGTACCTGAAGGTCAGGGCTGAAAGGCCAGATGCCCGGAGAAGGCGTGGGCTCCGGGGGTCCCGCCTGGTGCTGACGGAGCTGCGGGCCGGCCCTGCCGCCGGGCGTTCACTCTGGGCTGGACACGCTGGTTTCTCCTCAGGAGGCATCTCCTCGCAGAAGCTCCAGGAGACGGACCCTCCGTGTGGACAGTCAGATCAGCAATCTCCGCTCCATCGCCCTCTCGCCCGCTCCCCAGCTGCCCAGCTGCCCGCCCAGCCGCCTGGGGGCTTCGGAGAAGGTCCCGAGACTCCCTGCCTGGGAGCCCGCCAGCCTCGGCCCTTCTGGAAACCACCCCCTCCCCTCCGCTCCCTGGCGCGGCCGCTGACCCAGCGTCCAGCAGGGCCTGCTGCCCAGGCGGGCGGGCGCGTGTCAGCCCAGGTGGCGGGCGGCGTGCTCAGTGTGAGGCTCCCGGGAAGGAAGCCCGTGGGTCAGTCGTCTCGCCCGTCAGTGAAGGAGGAGCCGACCCACCGGGCCTGGAACCGGCGTGAGCGGGCCCCGGGTCGTCGGTCCATGCACACGGCCAGGGCTGCCCCGCAGGGAGGGGGAAGCCGGGGTGTGTCCCGGGAGAAAGCGACAATGAGTCACCTGGGCCCGCCGGTGTGGCTCAGTGGTGAGCGTCGACCTGTGAACCAGGAGTCAGGGTGCGATTCCCGGTCAGGGCACAGGCCCGGTTGTGGGCTCGGTCCCCAGCGGGGCGCGGGCAGGAGGCAGCCGGTCCATGGTTCTCTCTCCTCATGGATGTTTCTCTCTCTCCCTCTCCCTTCCTCTCTGACATCAATAAACACCTTTTTTAAAAACCGGCCTCTCACACCCGCGTCGCCGCCCCGGAAGCTCGGCACTGAGAAAGCCGCTGATCCTCGCGTTTCCTTCCTGACTTCGGCTCAGGAACTCGGAACATCGGCGCGAGCG